CGGGAGGAGGATTCACAGAGGGCGTGAGTTGAGCTAACTTGTGAACAGTATGAAGGACCGTTTTTTGCGTCGTGGTGCTGAAGAGAGCTGGGAACACGGTGTCACAAGTTGACAATAAAATGTAGTACTGGCGCCTGAAAGCATGATGGTTAAACGTCACCGTGTTGCACCACCTGCCTCGCTTTTTGAAAATTAGAAGCACTGAAGGAAAAGGGCCTTTCAGGTGTCATGTTGTTCCTTTCTGGAATGACTATAGATTTTTTTTTTATCATGCTCAGCTTTCACTAAAAGGCTTCAAACATACCTTTAGCACTAAGTTAGTTACTTAGTGATACTAGTCTGCATGGAGCTAAACAAATAAAAATACTTGAGAAGTAACCAGCTTGTGTATACTGAATTCATCTTTTGCTTTCTTGAGTTGGAGAACTTGCTGTTGACACCGTCAGCTGTGCTTTACGTTTGCTTTACTCTGCAGATCTCTTAACAGGATAGTCATCAGTGAAACTGGAATGCCCTGTTTTCTACAGGGAAGGAAAATACTGAGCATTAATATCTTTCCTCAGTGCAAGAAAGGCTATAAACTGTTTAGGTAGACTAAAAAGCAGTAAAAGACAAATGATTCTCTCTTTCAATAGGTTCTGTGATCATGTGCAGAAATCAGACTAGGTTTTTGGAAAAAGTGATAATAGGTTTTCTTTTTGTTTAAATTAATAGACAAATGTGCATACAGAATATTTGTACAAATTTGTCCTTTGTGATTTTTTTTTTAATTTAAAACTAAAGTGAAACTTCTGTAATTCCTTTAAAGATGAGGATGTTGCTTTACATGAAACAAAACTTCAACAAAAGTGCTTCTGGTTTCTCTTAGGCGGCTCATGAGAACAAGGAGGAACTACTTAACCATAAATAGAAGGGTTTCTTCAGTCAAAATGCCCTCCTTTTGTCTAGTATTTTATTTTATGCTTACCTTGTTATGAGCCTTTCTTCAGTGCTTTGGCCAATATCTATCTTAATGAGCCTGGTTTTGGACAGCTAAAACCAAACCCATTAATTTTTTCTGCTGAAGATCTTAATTTCCCTTTTGTTTTCTCCAGTGCCATAGCTTTTCAGTAGTTTGGATTGAGACACTTCTCAAGATGATGTTTTCAGCAGATAAGTGCTGGTTTTCATTAATTTCTATCAGTGCCTATCTCTTTTCTGACGTTACAAGTTGCCGTACTTGTCTTACTAGAGGTATGTGTAGGGCCGTGTTCAGGGGCCCACTCTCAAAAGGATTTGAGAATTTTAAGAATTTGGTTCCCAGCAGCTTAAATGCAATAACTAACCTTTAGAATTCTGCTGGTTTATGCCATTTCGTCTGGAAATGAGTTAAAATCCTTTCTGTTTGAATGTTCTTATATATCTTATTCTTAATTTCTCTGTCTACTCATGTGTCCTCAGAAAGCCCTCTTTCATTAATGTGAAACTGATAATGTCGTGATATTAATTTTAGGCTTTCAACTTCTTTCTAGAAGTATGTTAAGTATTAAGAGAATACTAATCTTTCACTTGGAGCTGTTTGACTCTCAGACAAGCTATGTGAATTGCATAATGTAAGGTTAGTTTTCTAGCTCTCTTTGGGTATAGAGTAAATCTAATGTCTGTTTTTCTGCCCAGTTTGGGAGAAGGAGATAATTGGCTTCCTGTGAAACTGTGAATGGCGTTCTGAAGAATCTGAAGTTGTCAAAACAACATTTACTATGCGTTGTGACTGTACTGTGCATTGTGACTGTAAGAATGACAGCAAACAAGATATGCTTGTCCATGATTAAATGAGGACTAGATTCATGTGGATTATCATCTCAGGGCTGAGTTTCTGATCCCTAATAAGGCTGTTCTTGTGCTTAATTCTTAGTATGGCCATTAATAGGGTATCCTCTTTACTTGATATCTTAAAGGTATTTTTACAAAATGCTTTGAAACTGAAAATGAAAACCCTTGTTAAGCTTGGAGGAAATTGATCACAGAATCAGTTTTGTATTGGGTTTTGAGTGATTGTGCTTCTTGTTCTGCTTGGTAAGATCAGAAATGTCTTAGCTCAGAGAACTGACACTGCAGTTATAGAAGGAATTCAAAATTACTCTAGAACAGGTGGTGCCAAACTTGCTTGAGGTGTCTCATTTCTTGCTTGTCAGTGATACCTGTAATCTGTGTGCTGGAATATTGATCTTGCTGATGTCCATATGAGGTTCTAATAAAGATTAAGAGGAAAATACAACTTGATGTAGTGTCTTGGGTTGCAGTGTATTCTATTACGATCCTCATGAGCTGTTGAAATCAGGTGGGGCAGTGTTCCCTTGCTTCCCCCCCCCCTCCAGACTATCTTTCTGTTAATGGCCCATCAATGCCATGCAGCATGACTCATTATCCCATTGTGAGATGCTCCACCCAGAGGGAGAAAACCAACATTCCATCCTGGATATAATCTGAGATTCTGAATACCAGAGATGCTCTCTTTTCCACTGGATTTCCAGAGGACAGGAGCCACTTAGCCACCACTGGATTTTTCTGAGGAAGAGCAGATCTTCTTTCTACAGGATCACCACTTCGGGGGGACTGCAGCCACCATTCTACCAGACTGCTACCACCACCCTGATTAACAGGGTGTCAGGTTGTATCCTGACTCTGTTAGTTTAACCCAGTGTTATCTGCCTTTATAATTTTTTTTTAAAATTATTTCCCTATTATATTGTTATTCTGACTTGGTGTCTCCCACTAGTTTGTTTTCAAACTAGCACATGTAGTAATGTTCAGGACAGAGTAAGTTGGTTGGTTTTGTTTTTTTTTTTTTAATGAATTATAGTAAAAATGAGTAGTATTCCATGTTGCTGTTTCTACCAGTGTTTTATTTATTTTATTTTTCGATATATTTGAAAATGTCCTATATTTCCTGTTTCCCAGTGCTCAGTGTTTATGTTTTCTCAATCTCATTTAGACTTCATTTCAGCTGACTAGAGTGAGGGGCACAAGAATAGTGAATTCTGGTCCTGGCAGTAAAAATGTGTGTTAGTGAGATAAGGGGAGGGAAGATGAGATAAATTCATCACTTCAGAAAATGTAAGGAATATTGGTGCACTTGAGCACAAATTGGGTATGTTGATTTGTTCTTCTTTCATGTTTGAAAGGTTTCTATCCAAGTCTGGGGGATGCAAATTTACAACCTTTTAAAAATTAAATGTAAGGTTCTAGAAAAACATCAAGTTTCCTCTCTCTAAAATACAATATAAGAATTGAACCTCATCCGTGGTTTCTTTGGGAAGCTTCAGCTCTAATGGCTAGAAGAATGACAGCTTTACTGTGACTTTTTTTGTGTTGACTACAGGACCAAAGTGAGTTCAAGAGTTTGCCAACCTATTTTCCTCTTCCTCATAGCAGGCTCAGACTGTCTCTCCCAACAAGTGCTGTTAACACAGATATTAATGTGGTGATTCTGTGACTGTTAGGCAAACTGCCTCAGTGTGTAATAGGTTAGATAGAAACTTTTTCTTAAACTAACTTTAGAGGGTTGTAATTTTAATCAGTTACTATGTGACTTTACTATACTGGTCATAGATGTCTGTAGCTTTTAATAATTTCTTTTCCCATGCCTGATAATTGTTATCCTATTTTCCCTCATCTACCTTGCCATTCTTGAGACTCAGCAATCCCTATTTTTTTTCCTTGCAAGCCCTATTTCTTCTGCCTCAAGTAATTTTTGAAATCTAGTCAAGTGAATTGCCCCAGCATTGACATAGTCATCTGGGTTATGTTGAATTAACATTGGATAAAATAAATAATATTTCACACTTTACAATATTACCCTTATTTTTACATCTTGTATGGTATTACCTTTTTCTTTCTAGAACATGACATTGTTGATGTATATTCAACTTGAAATACTAAATCTTTAACTTTTTTTTTTCTCTTTCTTCTAACAACTTCTGTTTTCCCTTCTTTATTTGTCCAGTTGTCAGTGCCAACAGTGTCAGCTGTGATCTTAAACGTATTGTATTACATTATCAGGTCATTTAATGAAAATACACAGTGGATTCACTCTAGGTTCTCACTTGATACCTCTCTCCAATTTGACACAGTTTCTGTTAACTGCTCTGTGAGTTCTGATACTCACCCAGTTTTGCTTCTATTTTAGGAAAGTTTAATTTAGTTAATGTTCCTTTAGATTACTTTTGTGGATGTTGTGTGTGCAAGGTTTAAAGAAAACGAAGTGACATTTACTGCTTCTGTGGACAAATTTAACTGTCTAAAAAATTTAGTTGCTCATTACCAGGTCAATTGATTTGATATCAATGAATTCATTGCTTGCTTTTTTTTTTTTGAGAACAGATCTTTTGTTGGAAACTTCGAATAGTCTATTTCATTTTTTCCCTCCATATTTAAATTGATTAGTCTATAATGTCTTGGCCACAGCTTGCTTTCGTTTCTCTTCTTTTAAAGACACCGTATTTGCCATCATCCATAATATCTTCAATTCTTCTTGAACCATTAAGATACTGGTTCAGACAGTTATTTATTTTGGGTTATTTGTCATAGTTGGCCCTGGCCAATCTGAATATAGTTTAGCAACTGGTGTGAGGCAAAGGGAAATAGTTTGCAGACCAGAACACTTGATAAAGCTTTGATGTCCCTGCTGTTTTGGGGGTGAGACTTTGCTCTGGGCTATGGTCTTATCCTGGGTGCTGAACACATAGAAGTAGTGAGAGTGCATCTTTTTATTAGTTTTCTCATAATGGGCTCTGTCTCTTGTGTCTTGGCACTGCTTCATGTGGACAAACATAGTAACTGAGGAGCACCTGGAAAATCTGCTTCAAAAGTACATCCTGCTGACCTGAACCAGGAAGGCTTATGTAAGCCTAGTCTGAGTCCATGAAGTTGCTTTGGGAATGTGGTGGAAGTCAGAGACTGTTCAGTTGCAATCAGACCTTAACATTCATTACTTTTTCTGGTCTTCCTGCCTAGGTTTCAAGATACTAATGGCAGATACATCCAGTGATTCAGACAACTTTCCTAGGGGTCAAATAGGAAGGCGGCCACCTTTGAGAGCATCCCACAACAGAGCTTGGAACTATGGTGCTGAAGAAGTTACAGAGAAGATCCATACTTTAGCAAGCACTTTACAGGTTGTTTACAAAATGCGGTTTTAAAGTATTTATAGAGTCTGTATTTCTGTAATGTGGGGTCAAATTTTCATTTCTGAAGTTGTGGAAAATACTGTACTGATGGGAAACATTGCTTTCTGAGCAAACAAAAAAGATTTTTGTGAAATTGGTCATATTATATTTGTTCTGAAAGTACGTGGCTTGTTACACTTTTATACAGCCATAACTTCAGACAGTAATATAATGTTGTTAGTAACAGTTATTTGTTTGGTAATACTGTTTATAAAGTTAGCAAACTGAATAATGACAAATAAACATTGTCAAATTCTCACAAGAGGCATTACATTTTGTAGCACAAAGTTCCAGCCCTGTCTTTGTTGTTTTGTACTGTGTAAAATTTCCTAATTCCTGATAAAGTAAATATGTAGGCAGTCAGTTCCCTCATGATAGAATTTACAATTCAGATATTTTCTAGGTGTGAAACAGCACAGTGAGAAGCATTATTTGTAAACTTGTAAGAGATCCATACCCAAGCAGGAAGAAGCGTTCATGTAATTCCTACTGCCTCAGTGGAGGCAGCGGAGGAAATCTCTCAATCTGTTTTGCAAGTGGGAGGAGACATTTAGTGGTCTTGACACCATTTATTCCTTGAGATGTCATTCTCATTCTTCTCTGACAGTTCTGAATACCTAGAGTGGGTAGGTTTACGCATTATCATTTGTGTTGGAGTATTGTTTGGCCAGCAATATTAATTTTTTCTTTTTAATATGTGAGAAGAGAGAAATCTGTATAGAAAGCTGAATTTAAACTTCAGATCTTCTCAGCTGGAAAATAGTCATCAAATTAGAAAAGAGGTGAATTAAGGATGTAATCTGATTATTTTTTAAAAGGGATTCCTTGGTATTGTCCTGTTTCTGTCTAACCTTTTTCTGTTCTTCTGAAATTCTGATTTTAAACTAATTGCTTTTTGCGGACTGCTTTTCAGCAGCTCTACCATCTGATCCAGCTCTTCATCTGGTCAGAGAGTGCTCATGCAGAGATCTTACCTGATGTATTGATCTTCAAAAATTTGTTGTTCCTGAGTTAACTTAATTCTGTTTAACAGGAAGTTAATGATAAGATTTTTGGATTAATAACATTTTTCTACAGAGTGGCAGAAACTTCTAAAACGTTTTATTTGAAGCTGAGGCCTTACTGTTGTACTGTAAATGATAGCATGTGTTTTTGTTTGCCTTTTTTTTTCCTTCTTCCCGTTAGTTGTGCTATACCTCTTCAGATTCTGGCTACTTGAATATGATTTTGAATACTTAGACCCTTTTAAAAGCATTTGTGTTATCAATTTGCTCTTACAAACCAAGGATAATAAAGACAAGAGTAACGTTTGATTAGGGGAGGTTTCTGGTTTGATTTTTCTTCTCAAAATTTTTTTTAAGGATACCAACAGAAATCTAAGGCATGTTGACCACTTGCTAGGACAATACAGAGAGTACAACAAGGAACAAACCGAAGCAATAGCAACTGTGAGCAACTTTCAGTTTATCTTCTTAAATCTTCTCTGCTAATAGCATTCATAGCTGAAAACTTGGTAGCAATGGACTGAATATATCAAAGAGTTAACTAGATGTAAACGGAAACTTTTCATATTTATTTGAGCAATCTAAATCAAACTATAGTAGTATGTTATATAATGAAACTCAAGTTTTGTAACTTCGTTACCTTTCTGGTTTATAAGCATCAAATAGATTGTTGTATTATGATACTATGCCAAGTACAAGGTGCATAGCTGAAACAAGAGTATTGAGGAACATGTTCCTTTTGCATGAATAAGTGATAAGAAAAAAGCTGGATTACAGCAGGGAATGAGACTGATCATACTGGTGTAGGGTTTTTTCCTGTCATTCTACAACAGTTTCTGAATCTGTTGACCAGCTTTCTCTAAATTGCAGAAAGGGTGAAATCCTCATAAATATCAATCTTCTACAAGTTTGAAAACAGGTGTCTAGACAGAGAAAGTAAGCCAAATTTGTGCTGATAGGACAAGAGAGGTTTATAACTTGATAACAAAAAAAATGCAATCAGTGCTGCCTTGAAACAGATGCATTTGAGATGTAGGAATATTGCACATGAGGCTAGAGAGAAAGAGGTCAAACAAATATGTAGAAGGTTTGTTTTCTTCAGGCAGCTTGCTTTATAAAACAGTACACACAGGATCTCCATGGAAGTAATTTGGAATGTTATATGCCTTTTTTTTCATGTTTGAATGCTGTTTCTGTCTTTATAAGCTCTACTTAGGTATTGAATTAGTGGAACCATTTAAGGTTGTCTGTTTTTAACAAATGTTGTTAGTTCAACATCGTTGTTCTGGAAAGATTCTATTAGGAAACATCAAGGTGAGTGAGACATTACTCAAATTTAGTTTTGACTTAATGTCCATTTTTTTAGTCATGCCAGGTGGCTTTTGATTATGGTTCAAGTGGAGGAGAAATCTAGAGACTAACCATCTCCTGCTTGAGCTTTAAGTAGTAGTCCATCTTATTAGTAAAAATAGCATGTTTTTCTGAGTTCCCGTTCCCTTTCTGAAGCAGAAGTTTATACTTGTATAGAATACATGTTGTATGTATTTGGTATGTGGGAAGAAGCAGCTGGGATCAGGAAGTAGTGAATCTGTTTTTCTTCTATAACATTTAAGAAAAACTTGAATAAATTTCTCACTTGGAAGGTGATGTGTTTTTTTTTTTTTTTTTTTACCATACTAAATAAGACTATTTATCTAAAAATATTTTGCTCCAAATGGGGTATGTGTTTAGGTTCTGTCAGTTATGCTGAATATTGTAACATCCAACCTGAATTCTTTGTGATCTTTTCCTTCAGACCATTGAATAGCATATTTGCATTTATAAGTTGGTGACTGTTGGGCTGCTGAGGAGCTGTTTTCCACTCTAATTTATAAATTAGTCTCACTACCCCACTTTGTGGTGCCAGGTGTATGCTTGAGAATTAGTGCAAAACTTGCTACATAGCTTACAGGGTGAGGAAGTTTTTCTACTCAGAAGAACTCAGTTTTTCACTGTTGCTAGTGTTGGGAACATTGTACTCTCTTTGTGTTCCAGACTAAGGTTATTCTGTTCTCCTGCTGGCCTGCTGACTTCCTGATTGTGCTGTGGGTTTTTTTTCATATATTTTTTTTTCCTCCTGGAGGAGAATAGTAGAGAAAAAGTTCCATTCTGCAATTTGGGGTGGGGAGAAGGGAGAGGGAGGGAGGCGAGGATGTTTTGGTGTGTTTTTTTGGCTCATGTGAGCCTTTGGAGAGGTTTAAAAGTAATTAGCCTTTGAGAGAGGGGTTCTTAATTTACTTTTTTTCTGATGGCACTGATATTTGTCTCTTTAACTAAATTAAATAATAAAAATAAAAACGAAGGAAGAAATGGAAAAGCACCAAAACACTACTCAACTGTTCTGATGGGATTTTAACAGTTTATAGATGAGATGTTGAGGAATGGAATTCAGATTGGTGAATATTAAGGGTATTCTAATCAAAATTGTGTTTTTAATATCTGTGTCCTACTGTTACTAGCCCTTCTTCATTCTTCTAATAACTATATTTTTAAGAGAATCCAAATACCTTAAAAATATAAAAATGTTGATAATGTACATTATAACTCAAAATTTTTAAACAACATTTTGGTCATTGTTCTGGTCTAAAGAAACAGACTGTAGAGTAAGGTTGTTAATTCTGGACACTGTCATGTTGTTTTTTTTTTTTTTTTAAAAAAAACCCCAAAACCCCACCTGTCTGATTTTTATGTAGAAAATACGAAAATGTGTGCTGTGAAGCTAAAGCATGCAAACTGAGCAACTGTAGCTTGGTTTGGCTTTTATTGCCTTACTAAAGATGTAAGATAAGTCTTTGACAGAGCCAAGTTAGATTTGAAAATTGAGTTATTGCTCTTCTTTCTTTGATCCTCTGGCATTTTCATTATTTTTTTTTATTTAAGTCTTGCCTTTTTAATACAAAAGTGATATTTTGTTACATATGTGCATTACTGTATCTTTTTCCTTCAAGTAGCCTCTGTCTTTTTGAGAAAGCATTAAGAAATCCTTAAGGGTTTTGGTTTGAGAGTTTATTAGTGATAATGAAGTTGTTTTAATAATACCACATAATGGAAACATAATACTTTAAAAAGAAACTAAACAAGCATTGAAAGATTCATAAAAGATTTGAAGTAGTGTTTTCCGCTTTAAGAAAATGCGGCCCAAAGATCCAATACAGTGTGTATAATTCTGCAAGAATAAAGCAGCAATTTAATAATTGTGTACAATCTTCTGTTAGGGAGAGGAAAGGTGAACCTTTAGAAACTGATATTTTGTCCATTGTCAAATAAAGATTTGAGAAAAGCAAGTGACTAAGAACCAAAGTTAGCAAATGCAATCTTAGAAAATAAGGTGCAAGTCTGAGAAATTAGGAATTTATGTAGGAATATAGTTAGTTCTGAACCCTTAGGTTCTGGAAGTATAACTACTAAACGTAGGGCTTGATGTAAAGCTGCTTAGTGAAATTTGATAGCTGTATGTCAAATTGAGTCCAGGTAGGGCTGGTAGAGAAATTCCAATTAAAAAATTATTTCAAGTTGTTTTCTGGATTTTGCAGAGCTGTTATTGACCATTGCTGGCAAATAGGACTTATTTTGTTGTGGGAGATACACTTTTGTTTTGACTTTTCCTGCTTTGTTGCACCACAGTTGTGAGAGACTTGGTATTTGAAGCTGCCAATGTTGGTAACATGTTTTACCATAGTTAAGGGAATATGACATACAAGTTATTGAGTAAAAACTGTTATTAATTCATAGCTATACTTGGCTTAAAAATAGTTTTGATTTTCTTAATGACTTTAAAAAAATATTTTACATGCATGTATTTTTTTAATCAGTCTGTGTTCATATTTCAGTAAACTGTAATTTTTCTGCAGTTAAAAGAAACACTGGAACAATCTATAGGTCAGTTAAGGAGCCAACGATTAACCCGAAACTCTGGAATAAGAAGTGCTTCTCTCTCCAGTTTATACCCTAGTGATCTGGATGGTGAAGGAGTGGCAGGTAAAATACTTAAGGTACCTGAGTATATTTAAATTTTGTGATAGAGCTGTTGTACAGAAAAAGGAAATTAAGAAGAAAAAATGTGTAGAGAGAGTGGTGTGAAAAGTAGTCATTGATTATTTCAAATAAGTTGTTTAGAAATTTGGGAGACCCACATTAAGTTATGCAGTTGTTTATTTGGTAAATTCTTATAGCCTTCTGTTATGTAGTCTTTTCTGCTGATATACTGAAACATCTAAAGAAACATTGATTCTTTCAGTAGAGAAAAGTCCTTGTCCACTACATGAGTTGTAGGTACATACAAGTTAAAGCTAAATCCAAAAGATATTGTAGCTTCTGTAACTTTACAGCAAAAAGGAAAGCTAAATTTTAAATGCATAAGATTATGGGTGTGTGGATGAAATTATGTAAGGCTTAGTGGAAAAGGAAAAACTGAACCAATGTATAACCTACAGAAATATAGGGTTTTTTGTACATATCCCTGAAAATTCATTATATTTTAGGAAAAGGTGTATTTAGGAGGAGTATTCCTCCTACAAGTACCAGTTAATGTATTTTAGTAGAAAACTCCAAAAATTTAATTTCTAATGTAAAAGCTGTGAAGTATTGTAGTTTGAAGCTATAAATGGAGAAAAAACTGTTGCTTGGGCAAATAAAATTTGAGGAACAAACTACCTATTCCTTGGAGGAACAAAAGAAACCTCTTTCTTACCCATCACATACATGTATTCCAGAAATATTTAAATTGAAGGAATATCCTGGGAAGAGCTAAACAAGAAGTATACCTGTGCATTTTATGTAACTTTAGTAGTTGTTCTGTCAGTAATGTGGCCTATAAGGATATTGGCAAGATGAAACACATGCTTTTCATGAAGCAAAATGAAAAATTTCCCATACAAAGTTTTGTCTTCCTACTTACTTTTTTCTCTTATCTCATAAAGGGAACCACCACTTCCTGCCTACTTCTCCTCTCAGGGATTATGGAGACTCACAGGGCAATAAACATCGAAGGTCTAGATCTGCAAGTGTTCGATTTGTCAATGAGGCAGATAATTTGGACCAGGTACAGAGCACTAATGGGAGTTGTTTCCCCAAATAGGCAATATGTGGTCACCAGGCTCTTCACTTTAACATCAAATGAGGTTATTCTGATCATGCAGCTAAGAATGTTTCAGCTATGAAGTGTGCTGTCAGTATTACGTGCCATTCTTCGTTAGGCAGTCACCTCAGTGTCATGAAATTTTCTGCAAATCTGTCATTATAGAGAAAACGATGCAGATGCTAGTGATATCAAAAGGAATGTATGAAAATAATCTCAGTACTTTTTAGGCTGTGCATGAGAAAAATAGTCTCTGAATTGGTGATTAACGTTCACCTAAGTGCTGGAATCCAGTGTGGCTATAATGGGGATTGTTCTGCTTTAGTTAATGGCACAGGGTCTTAGTGGTTTTGCTGTTTATTTCAGTGTAGCCTGGATTGATTTTGAGCCAGCTAGTTCTCCATCTTAATTCTAGGTCTGACCTGTGAGTGGGATAATTTGACCCCATACCTCAGGCAGATGATGTGAGGAGGAGAGGATGTGTATGGCACTGCTAATTTCCATACCCTTCAACTTGTGTCTACTTGCAGACTCTTGGAAAAAATAAATTACTTCAAAGGACAAGATTATAGGCTTTCTATATGCTACAGATAGAGATTTCAGTACCTGTTTTTGCTCTTTCAGAGTAGCTAGACCTGCTCGAGTGAATCCTTCCTTGTGGACTAGTTTGTCCAGGACAATAACTAATATTAAAGCAGATGATTATAAGGTGTTCATGTTGTCTTTATTAAATCAGTCCCAATTTCCAAATAATTTTAAACTTAACCACAATACATTCTCTCAGCTGACTTTTTGGGGAGTCTGAGTACTACAGAAATTCCTGTTTAACCCTGTTTCATTGTCCTTTTGGTTTACTTCTCCCCCCCCATTCCCCATTTACTTCTCCCCCCCCAGTCCTGCAAGGTTAGTGTGGAACATAATCCTTGGAAGGAAATAGTGTTATAGGGAAATTTTTCCTCCTAAGCTTCCAAAAAGTTTGGAACTTTTTAGACTACTTCTCAATACTCTGTAAATATGTTAAAAATTTTATTCAAGTTTCTGCAATACATACAAAATGTCTAGTTTATGTTAAGTAACTATGTAAGCAAATAGCACTTTTTCCCCTATTTTGATTATAATTGCTGTTTTTTTTCCTTATTCTTGCTTTTCAGTGAATGAAATATGGCTTCACTCAGTCATTAACTATTTTGTAAGAAGAGTGTAGTGCTTTGAGGAATGACGAACTAGAAGTAGTCATTGATCATGACCATAGGTAGAAATTGGGGCAGAGATAAAGCAGTACTGCTTAGCTAAAGCTGTGGCTCTTTCTTCTTTCTGTAACCACATTCCCTTTATTACTATTCTGACTGCTTCTAGCTAAAGGTAATTTTCCAGCTGAATGGGCTTTTAACACATTTGAGTCTCTCTCCTTAGACTGATACATTCTGAAAATATGCTGTGTTTTTCAAAGTCTCTTGGGTCAGGTTGAAAATTCTGGTTAGTCACACAGGGGAGATGGTGGTGTCTGTGTCTGAATGTTGAGGGCAGTCAGCTGGCCTGTGGAAGATCCAGGTTTAAGTCTTGGGCATAGAGCAAAAGGGGATTATAAACCAGAGTTTTTCATAATGATGGTCCCGGCCACTGAGCTGCTGACAGCAGTAGGTTGTATTAGGATGGATTAATGGTCACTTTTTATCCCATGAAGAATAGAAAGAATCTATTACTTTTTTTGTTTGCTCCCTTAAAAACTTTGACTATAGATTAGGGGATTGATGAATGGGGAAAATGGGAGGTTTTACAGAAGAAAATAGATGTGTGTGATTTGTTTTTGATTGTTCAGTTGATGTTTGTTTTTTTTTTTTTCCCAAGCTCTGAAAAAAGCATTCTAGTAGAGTATGTGAAGTCATGGGCAAGGTAAAATAGCTTTCCTCAGTGCTTTGGTAGTTCTTCAATATGTCATAGTGTTCTGGTTGGTCACTTCCAATTTCACATGCCATCTTTTCATAGTAATATATATAGCTGGGCAGAACCTTGTTTCATTTATACTAGCATTTATTAGCAGGAAATGTGTCTCTCCTGACTTCAGCTGTGCAGGTCTTTCAACTTGCTTTGCATTCGACTAAAAAGATGGTGCAGTGTCAGGTAATTGAAATGATCAAGCTATGAATCATAGAAAAAAACCCCATAGTTGGGAAACTTGGTTTATTAAATAATATACTGAAAATTAAACTTCAATGAGCAAGTGTTGTGAAGGGTTGATTGAAATAGAAGCATGCAAGCCTTGTCCACTCATCCAGGCTCATGTATCTTATTTTTATCTGCTTTATTTTAAAAAGTAAGTGTATATATATGTATGTACATATTTTTTGAATATCACAGAAAAAAAGGTTTCTTAAGACTTGGCTTAATTTGTATACTTTAATTTACAGCTGCATTCTTTCCATCAGTCTCTTCGAGATTTCAGTAGTGAACAAGTTCGTCTAGGAGATGACATCAGTCGGGAGCTTTCAAGACGAAATCGGTACAAACAGAATATAACTCCATATGAAGAATAGTGTGGAAAATAATTGTTATGCTTCTAAATAATTCTTAAACTCCTTTATTCTTTTGTATTTAAAAAAAATTTTGAGGAGGGTGAGAGATTGCACAACATGTAGATGAAAGTAGTATTATGAGCTTCTTGTTCCATGTCATCTTGTGCAGTATTTATAAATGTAAATAACACCCATCAAGTCTGATCTGTATAGTATCTGTGTCTTTTCCTCATTTTTTTAATATGTGGAAAAATGACAAGGACTTGTGAATTTCTTTTATTTCAACTTTGCTCCTAATTTGTTTTTGGTACTGGAGTCTTCTGAGGGCAAGCTCTCATGCAGGCCATAATGTTTTTTTAAGTACATACTGTCTCAATGTATGGTGCTTTGTCTAATAGCAATAGCAGAAATTAATCTGCTAATTCCTAGTAGGAACAAATACTGTTCAAAAGGTCTGTGTAGATAAGTTCATGATTTTGTACTTGTTGACCTGATACCTAGCCTTTCAAACTAGATGCTCTGTTATCTTCACTTGAGGAATGGAAATGCTTTTTATCATGAATTTTCCACTTGAGGCTGTTCTCTAATTATGCTAGGAATTTAGAAGCTGTAGAACAAACTGAAGTAGGATAACAATCCAGGAGAATGTTTCTGGTTAAAATTATCACAGTTGATATTTAGTTTTTGCACTGTAGAATACTGTCTTACCTATATTTTTCTATGTAGGACTGATGCTGAATTAAGAAAGACTCTAGAAGAATTGTCTGAAAAGCTCACCGAGTCCCAAAGACAAGAAACGGTGAGTGTGACTAACATGAAAAGATGTTTTATATTTAGTAATCTAAGCAGCATGTAGGTTTTTAGTTTAATGTGTGTGTTGGTAATCAGCACTACATACTAGTATGTATATCTGAACATGACCTTATCTAGGCTACTGTAGGTTGTTACGTTACCCTTCCACAATGAAATCAGCAAGACAAGTTTTTTTTATTTCAGGTACTTGTTTCAACTAAAAATGAGTGTTTTACAAGTGTGTATGTAGTGAATTTTTCTGTTTCAAAATTCACAGTCTTGGAGAAAACTGCTTTTCAACTTAGAACATTGGTTTGAATGCTATCATACTTTAATGCCTTTTGAAAGGTTTTCCCATGTTAATGATGATGAATAATACTGTTTCCTTCTACCTCCCTGTGCTTTTCAGTCCTTACCATCTGTGCAGCATAAAGGGAGGAGTCTCCTTGGCCTGCACTCTTCTCTGAAGGTTTTGTGACAAATGTAACAAAGGAGGCAGGAGAGCTGTGTAGTTTCTTTTTTTGCCTCCTGTATCTGCTGCAAGCAGACCAACTACAGTCTATGACACTTAAATATGAAAGAGATCTGCTGTTGAGATGGAAGTCAGTGTTGAGAATCTCTCCATTAGTTAGGAGGTCAAAATCCTGTAGGTAGTTCTTGATGCATAAGACTTGAGTGTATGCTTCATGTCAGTATTAATGTGGTATCAGTAGCAATCCTGACTTTTCAGAGCGGGTGTTATGTGTCCTTATTTTCCCATAGATGATTCATCTTGCTCTAAAATTGCATGAATTGGTATTAAATGCTTTGTCAAGATCTTTAGTGATGTGTTTGTCACCAATAAATAACAATATTGTTGGCACAGACAACTCATTGTCTCCAGCAGACAGTGTAAGTTCCTGACTCTAGATGAAGTTAGACAGCAATTCAAGAGACTATATCAGTACCAGTTATATGGTTGATATGATAGAGTCCATCAGAGGAGGAAGACTTGCCTTGTCAGCCTTTCTACAAAAATAAACAGGCTGTCTTTGTTAGAAAGTTAGGTCTGCTTTCTCCTAATAGCCTGGTAGGAAGTTTATCTGATAAGAAGTTCTTGATACTTATGAAACTTGTTGGGTGTGTTTGTGTGTTTTTGTTTTTTTTTTTCTTGCTGTGGCCTGCTTCTCAGTATACTTACTTCTTTTCCTTTTTCATGTACCAGAAAATTAGCAAACTTGCTAAGTTTTAACCAATATGGTTCTCAAAAGAAAAAAAAAAGCTGCTACAGCTGACTACACTACAACTGTTCAGTGCCTTTGAGTGAGAGAAACCTTCCTCCTCAATCCTCCATAATGCTGGCATCCACTGTCTTCATTAATGAAATAAAAAACTAGCTCTTTGTGACCTCCTATAGTAGGATTTCAAAATTTGGAATTGAATGTTACAACTTTTGACCTAAGAGAAGCAAAAAATGGGAGATGTGAATTGTAACAAGGAAGCCTTCTGTAGTCCATTAATGGTAAGGGGAATACCACAAGAATAAGTCTCTTAGCTGGGAGACAACATTATCATCCAATAAAGCTATGAAAGCTGAAGTATTTAATGACATTCTTTCAGTGCAAGACACAAATGCTACAGGAAGCTGCAATGAGATGGTTTTCATGTGTAGGACTAGTAAGACTCAGCTGGAATATTCTGCTTATTGCTGATTATTATCTTTAGGAACAATATTAGCCAAATGAAGAGAAGACTGGGAAGAGGAAAGCTAAAAAAGAAAAGGGGGAAAATAAAGGCCACTCATTCAGAGTCTTCCTTGAAAGGTTAAAACAATTGCTGATGTTCAATTTGCAGAATAAATATGTAGTTTGGAAAGATCTATCCGTTTATGATGAATAGTCAAAAAGTGAATGTTTAGTGAACGATATTAAAATAGAAAGGCATCTAATGATAATTCTGCACAATACTAGGCTAATCACTTGTGGCTTGGGAGCTTCTTGGTCTGGAAATGATCTCTGTACTTTGTGTACATAGTAATCCCTCTGTGGATTTCTCTTCTGAAACTTGTCCAGTCTTTGTTATAATTTGCATATCATTATCATCTTGTCCTACAGCAAGAAATTCTCCAGATTACATATTGTGGGAGGAGCTGCCACTTTTGTGGTGGTTTGTTATTTTCAGTTGTGTGTGTATGTGTTTGATATGTTTTGGTTAGTGTACTTGGTTGCTTTTTTGTTGTTGGCTTTTTTATTGTTGCTTTTTCATCCCTAATTTTCATTAGAGGAGGTTGTTTTGTTTCTTCAGAGGCTTTTCAGAGGGTTCCCTTTTTCTTCAGGCTGAAGAATTTTGACATGCTTAATCACTCATTGTATCCAGGCAATTCTGCACCACTGAAAAAGCAGTAGCAACGTTCTGCACTGCTTCTTCACCTGTGCTTTCTGATACTAGGTGTGGATTCTTTGCCCTTGTTCAAAGCCTAATGAACTAGTGCTATGCTGATGAGGCTGGCAGAATGGGTGAGATGAGGTAAATTCAAAAGAGGGGAATTTAGCATGGATGTTAAGAATAAAAATAACTAATGGTGAGCATAGCAAGGCATGGGATTAGAGTGCGTGTAGAAACTATGGTCTGTTATTGTAAATTTTTGAGATCCTGTAGTACCTGTGTTTAGGAATTCTTCTAATGAGATTATTTAAATTGGAATTGAGTTCTTATTGGTGAAAGTAAGTTGGGTAGGAGGATATACTTTTGTTCCCTCACAACTTTCTTATGCATAATTGTTCCGGAACTGTTGTTCTTAGTGCCTTTATCGCTTTGTTTTAGAGCGTTTGTCACCTCCAACATTGCCATTGTTGTATTTGTACTCTACTGTATGATTCTTGATGATAAACTGTCAGCTGGAAATTTTAGTAATTTGAGAAGATGAGTTCATGGTAGAAACATTCCTTTCAGTTCAGTGTCCTTAAGCCTTCATTTCTGTAGGGACATATATCTAAATTCTTACAGCTGCACTGTTCAGTATATTCAGTGCTGTTTGAAAATTGCTTCTATATAGTTGTGTGGTGGTAAAGGTCTAGTCACTAAGTTGTTCTGAGACACTAGTTCAGAATTTATTTTTGTTAGAGGTTATGATTCTTAGAGCCTTTTTGATGCTGAATCTGAATACTTTGAGCCACACAACACAATCAATGCACATTAATTTTACCTTTAAAGGAAGCCTTGTCCACCTCAGTATGAAAACGGGAGGACATGCGAAGTCCTGGCACAGGCATAGTTGGATGCTTGTTTCGAATTAAGCACACTTCATGGTCTCGTACTTGAGAGTCTATGTGTGGTTTTGGTATGAGGACTGCAGGCTCTACAACTCTCTCTATCAAAATCTCTTATTTTATCTAGATGTTTTCTGAGATTTCTTTTATCTTGTAAAGAGTTTGGATGTTTGCTAGAGGAATGTCCATACAGACCTATAAAGAATTGAAAGAATGTTTACTTACATTATGGTTATATAAGATAGCCCTCTTTGATAGTTAGTGATCTCCTGGTACAGAAGCATGTTCCAAATAGCACATGGAGCTGATATTTATGCATAAAAAGCAACTACACTTAAGCACAGATTTGTTCAAATTAAGTTGATGCTTAACTGAGATAGTGACATTAGAAGGTCAGTGTAGGCTGTCTGTGGAAAGAACCAGCAATATCAAGTGAAATGGGTCTCACATGGAGTTAATGTGGTTACAATATCTGAGAGCTAAGGTTATTGTCTGATAAGGAACTGTCCTTCAGAAGATCTGATACAGGGATTTTTAGCACTGCACACGTGACTTGTAATATATAGATATATATATATATCGCAGATTATCGTTTGTCATGAGGGAAAAGCAATATTTAAAGTCACATCTGCAAAAGAAGTTTGCTGGTTTTGTGATTTTAATACTCCTGTTTCAAGTCTGCATTGATAAAATAGGTCATAATGAGAAAGGCAAAAAAATCTGAAGTAGATTTCAGTCAGTAGGATTTGTGTGCTAGAAATAACAGTGAAAAGCTGAAACACAGGAGAGAAATTCAAGAAGTAGGATGTTGCTTTTTGTAGATTAAGCATCCAGCATCTTCCACAAGATTATATTTAGCTGCATCACTTAAGCCTCACCCTGGTTTTAAACAAGACATTCTATTCTTTGTGTTTAACTGGTGATGGGGGAGTTTTTTGATATCCTAATCCATTATTAGATTTTCCTGCTACCTGAAAGCCATATGCAGAGACACAGCTCTTAGTGTCATGATTATCATTCAGGTAGTCTGTATTGCTCAAAATGCGTCCTTGAAATCACATTCTAATATGTTATGAATGCAATAATTTAGTGCTAGCATTTCATGTCATTATGTAGAACCTCCATATTCTTTGCACTGTTCTTCAGTGAATCACTTGACTACACTAAGGCTTTTGATAAGATCCAGAGGACAAGATACATATTCCTCTGGTAGAAATGTTGTCCTGAATCAGGGTCACTTGGGGTGAAGGAAGAGAAGTGAGTTTCAGAGTTTCTTCTGCATGTAGTAATTAATGAGTTAACACTTAACTATTTATAATTTTTCTTTCTTTTTTAATTCCTTGTTGTGTGTCACAGGCTCTGTGACAAACTGAGGAAGGTCAGAGAGGCTATAAAAACAGGGAACATAATTCTTGTGGGAAATAATGTTTACACCAGCGTAGACTGGGTAAATGTTATGTTGGGGGAACTACGTTTTTAGGTGGTGCATTAACTACTTTAACTTTTTTTTTCCTCTGGAACACTTCTGGTTATTTGTGCATGAATTTTCATCTGTGAAATACTCACCTTGTAAAAATGACCAGAACAAACTTGTGTACTTTAGATATATCTGGAGAAAGGGATGACATATATTTCCCAGTTTTCAGCAAAGATATAACAAGATTAATGACAAAGTGTTATTTTCTCTTCCTGCTACATAATATTGTTTCTGTTAGCTGGAGTATTTTGTGAGTTATTAGAAGTAATACTAAGTAGTAGTTGTCAAACCAAATACAAGCATTGTGATATGGTCCTTATATTTTTATACGTTAGTTTTTAGTAAGTAATTATTCTGGATTATAACTGCAGAGTTTTCATAACTTAAATGAAAGAGCAAGTTTTGCAGTATGTTTTTGGAACATCTCCTGATGGTTTTAAGAGAAAATACAGAATTCCAAATTGTTAGCTGACTATTCATCTGGCTGCTCAAACAAGAAGTGTTTTCAAACTGATGTGTTCTGTTCTTAAAGACGATGGCTGTTTCATTCTTTAAACTTGGTGTACTTGTGAAGCCTGAATATAAATGTAACCTTAATAATGTTTTTCTTGTTACACAACTGTGTTGCTCATGTTAAAATTTTCTACCTGTACATATGCCTAGTGTTGGTAGAAGTGTGCTGAATGGTGAAAATACAGATTGAAACTTGTTTCCCTCCACATACATCAGAAACTAGTAGTTGAATGGTGTTTTAAGTCTTTCTCTTTTTATCTAAATACCATTCAGTAATAGATATATTGCTTTCTAGTGACAACTTAAAACAGTTTTAAGATTGGGAGATGATACATAATGATTTTCCTTGACAATCTCCAACTGTAACATAAATTTAATTTGCTGACCACAAGAGGGTGCTGTCTGCTAGCAGCTTGAAATGCAAAAATATTCTGATATTGTTATAATCCAAATTGCTTATAAAAATAGCACTCGTTATTTGTTATAGTTCGTACATGGATTAACAAAATATTAGGGAAGAGTCTTAAAATGACATGATTATTTTGTGCTATTAAGGTCATTCTCATGTATTTAGCTCTTGCTTACTACTTTTCACTTGCAGATTTCTGAGTATGGAAGAGGCAAACATTGGTCTCTTTTACGAACTGGAGATGTGAAAGAAATTACTCTCCAGTGGTTAATCAGGCCTGTGGCAGAAGTCAAGATTTTTGTATTGCAAAATTGTGGTTTCAGGTTAGACTGCACTGAGCTTGATGTTGAGATATTTAGCAGTTGAGTAGAACCACCATTGTAGAGAAAAATATGCGTATACCGAAGGGAAGATATTACTAGCAAGATAGTCAGTTCCCTGCTTGAGTACTTCTGGAATACTTGCTGCTATAACTCTAGTTATTTTCTATACAATTCTACATCTTATTTAATAAAATAAAGATTGTGTTCTCTCTTCTTTCTGCCCTGTACTCTATTTACCTTTTTTGCTATTGTTATAACAGTATGTGGTAAAAGATGGATTAATTCCCTGTAGGGTGTTTTTTTTTCCTTTTGAAGGTATCAGAACGGGTAGAGAGAAGACTTCAGGAGATAGAGCAAGAAATGCGTGCTGAAAGACAGCTTGTAGAAAGGCGCCAGGACCAACTGGGACGTATGTCTTTTCAATTACAAGAGGTATGCAAATTAAAACTTCCTGTGTGTTCAGGATTAAGTTAGGAACCTGCTGCATTTGTGAGCCTGTACCTGTCAGCTGGCAAAAGTGCTTGTATCTCTGGCACATTGTTTTAACTGTATCAGTCCACCTCCACTTGTTTTGGTGACCAGATGATAAGTACAGTCTCTGTTCTTCATGTTACTGTCTTGTCTATATTTAGACCTTTTTGGTAACTGACACAAATATTCTTCAGAAACACAACACCCCCCCCAAATAAAAGCATGTCATTAGCTGTTTTGTCTCAACTAAAACATTTTGTTGCCTCAAATGTAAACTTCGCTTGCAGTGAGCAGTTTATTTTTGTTTCAACAAGCAATTAAATGCACTGTAGTGGCCAGAGAGCTTTTCATTCCTTTTCAGAGTTTCATTCAACAGTATCTGATGAAGTATAAAATATTGTTTAGGAGACAAATACGAATGTTTATATTATGAATTAAAATTGGATACAGTTAGCATCTTTTTTTCTGCTTGTTTAAAGAAACGTATGAAAAATACATCTCTTTTTCTGATTTTACTGCTATTTGGAAAATCTATGTCTTAACATAGTGTAACATTTTATTTCACTCCCTTTAAGATGTGATTTGCACTGTTATTTCTAACTATGCAATAGAGTATTATAGTTGAGAAGAAATGTGCAATTTCTTGTTCTTCACTTTTAATATTAGTGACAGTATACATGCTTTTTGGAAGGCAGTTGTTTTATACTGCGCAGTGATATTGAGGAACCTTAATTTCGATTGACACTTTGTATTTCATGTAAGGCTAGAGACTCTTCAAAGAGGTCATATTTAAGAAGATGCTCATTTGATACAGTTAAATAACGTTTATCAAAATGCTTGTAGTGCTTCTGTAGTGGTGTCTCTAGGAAATGTTTTACTCTGCTCATTCTAAATTTGTAAATGAAATGACAGGGTAAGTCACTGATTTGTGTGTTGTGATCAAAAGAAAGAACTAGGAGATAAGGGAGCCAGTTACTCCAACTTTGTAAAACAAAGTATGTCTGGTTAATGCTAAAAAGATTGATAGGAGGGGAACATTCTACCCCAGGATATTTCTACCACAAGCTTTTTGATTAAGAAGAAAATCAGCAGTAAATGGGGAAAAGATAAAGGCGGTGGGGTGGTGGGGGGAGGGAAGGCTGTGACCACTGACTCATTTTAAGGTGAAGATGATGTGCCCTCCCTACACCCCCACCCTCCCTTGAGTTTGTGCAGAAGAATTAAAAGACACTAACTTTTAAATCGAGACACGTTAATCAATGCAGGGCAAAGTGTTAAGAAACTAACCAATGGTCATTACAGTAAATGTGTATGTGTAGCCTGTAGTGTATAAATACACTGAAGTTCTTTTGTGCAGTGTGCCAGCTTTATGAAATTACCATCTAGCACCCCACTCTGTGCTAACATCGAATAAATAAGTACCTCTGCTTTGTGTGTATATTGGTGTATTGCACAACAGGTAAATGACCCCACTTGTGGGACAACAATAGTATTTCAGAAAGAGTTAGTGTTTTGCTTTTCCCCCTGCTGATGTCCTAGTGGGTGAAAAGAACTAGAGTGCTTTATTACAGTTTTTATTGCTCTTTAATATGCTTACGTCCATTTCTAGATTCTTCAGTTGTCCCATTAGTCCAGTAAAGGGATGCTTAATGAAATGAATCGGTGTCATTTCATAGTCTTATCTGAGGATTGGAACAGTTGGCGTTGTTTTTTTTAATCCTTTTAAAGGAATGATGACTTGTATCTGTAAAGATACATTGACACTGCCATGGTTTCCTTAGAAGGATATCTTGAATTAAACTGAATGAATTCAGATGTATTTCAGAGTTTCATATGATTAGCCATGTGATCATGCGCCCTCGCTGGATACCTTTTTTTCTAGTAGCTCATCTCTTGAATTTCTTGCAAAATGAATATGAAACACTAAGTACATCCCTGACCTTTCATTTCCCTAAGCTGTCCAGCTGTAGATGAAGACATTTTATTCCTTTCTCTTGCAAGTTCTATTTTATTCCATGCATATTTTGGTATATGATTTTCCTGAGGAGCCCCTTTCTATTTAAAAGACTTTTAGACACCACTGTTCAAAACTTCAAAACTCCTCATTCTGAGTTTGCAGGAAAGCTGAACACGTGTTAAACCATTACTCTTAGGAATTTGCCCAAGCCAAGACTCAGAACCAGTCCTGACTGGAACAGTCTTATTCTACATGCCATACGTTCAAAGCTGCTGCTACTTGGAGGAGAATCACATTCTTGGTGATTATCTTGGCGCTCTCAAGCAGTGGCTTATATCTCCAAATAGTCATTCTGGGTGGCTGATCTCAGTTATGACTCTGGATTTCTTGGACTGTACTCTCTTGTCACTGTATTTGGAAATTCTAATAAAACATAGGTTATCCCTATTGCAACCAATTACGGATTTTTCAGCAGCTTCTAACCTTTAACATGAAAAATAGAACCTTATGGTGTCTGATGACAAATGTAGAAGGGAGCTTCTTTCAATAGGTGTTAGGCAATCTTTCTTTGACCGATTACAGAGGAATAGGAAGACAGTATCGCCCTTGAAACACCCTTACACTCCCAGTAGCAACAAACAGTATGTCCTCTTCCTTCTGCTTTTCTCATAGCTGTCTTAACAGCTTGGATAACATCTTTGTGACAGAGTTGCAACTTTCTACATGCCAGATTTCTTTTTAGACTCTAATATTGCTAAGGTCCTTAGATCTCAGACTCTTTATTACAAGCTTCTATCCAGCTGTCCCATCTTCTTCATTGAATATTAATGTTAATATTTTCTTCTCTGTGTAGAAAATGGTCTTGCTTCTGCATGGTGTTTGTTTTATCAGGAATGGATCAACATCTCTTGAACAGTTGGTTGAGCTCATTAGCTCTCACACAGGCAAAGTGTGTCACCTTGTGTGCTACCTTTTGAAAAACACTTGTTTTTGAGAACAAAATAGTCTGGATTCTGTACACTGCCTCTTTGTGCACTATCATCCTGAGAGGTTGCAGTGTGGGAAGGCTTTGTGAGGAAAATTACATTGTTATGGAATATAAATTATAGAATAAATAGGAATATGAGACTATCTAAGGCGGCAAAAAGTTTAGAATAGATATGATATCAAATTGATAACAAACAGGGAAAAATGACAACTCCAAAACAGTCTGAGAATTTGGTATAGCAGATCTGAGTTTTCGAGCTCCTGATTTTTGATTTTTCACACATACTTCTTTGTATGTGGTGTTACAGATGAATGGATTTAGTATGGCGAACCAAATAGAATGAATAATGTAATTTATGGCTATGAAGTATTTAAAATTTATGAATAGTTTAAAAAGGTTGTTATTTCAACAATGTGTTTTCAAGCTGAGTAGTAGTTGGTTTCTTGTTGATTTGTTCATTACTTGTATTCGTGTAACTGATATATTTTGGCAAGATGTTTTTTCTTTTGTATAGACAAAATTAAATCTGGCTTTAAAGGTCTTTGAGCAAAGTTGCTAGAAAAACTTAATAGTTTACACCATTTTTTATGCTTATTTTTTATATCCTATATTTTAACTAGGCAATTTCAGCAAAACCTACAAGGTAATTATTTAAAAAAAGAAAAGAAATAAAGTTACTGATAAGAATAATTGGATTTTGTGTAAAATATCTGATGTAATTTAACTTTTTCTTCCTGATCACCCATCGCTTGATGGTAGCATTTGTCACAAAGATTGCTTGATAAATAAGAGAATTTTCAAGAACAGAGTTTCTCAGACTCCACTGTGGAAGCTTACTTATTTCTTGACTGTTTTACAGTTGAAGGGTGACTATATTGTATACTAAGAAAGCGATTTAACACAATCTATGACATTGCTGGTTTTCTTATTGTAAAATATGTTCTTTCATGCTGCAAGGTACTCAGCTATTGCAGATGCTATTGTCAAGTCTGCAAGAGTCTCATCAGTGCCCTCCTTGGATCTCTCATGGGATATACAGAATGATGCTGGACTGGCTATTGAAAAAGGTGGATCTCTTCATTCAGTACATCCACACAAGTGTGTCGCCACTCAATGATTCTTAGGGAACATTGTAGATTGAAAATACTCTTAATGAATACAAGCAACATAAGGAGAGGTTAGCTGCTTTTTTCTGCAGCTTGGGTTTTTAATCAGCTGTTACTCATGGTGGTGGATTGATTACATTTAGCCTGAAGTATCAGGATTATCAGAAGAAGCAGACAAACTGCTTTCCAATAAATGAGATGTCCTCCACTGGTGAAGCAGAAACACGTTTAGGGGTAAACCCAAGTCAGTAAACTAATAAATATCTGTGCTGATTTTCTGCAAGAAGGTTTGGAGGTGATGATAGCAATTGAGGTTTGATTTTTCTAATTTTCATTAATGGCATTTGTCTGCAGTAATACTACTAACCTAGACAGCGATGGTCTTGTAATTCTTGTGGTCTCCACTCCATTTAGAGGGGAGTACTTGGGTTCACCTATGTAAATATGCATATAGGCAGTCCCTTAAGAATGCATATTATTAACCTGAATTTCTTTGAGGAGTGAGAGCCATTTGCCCAGTTGCCCCTTGTCTTCCATTGCCCATCATCATCCCTTTCTTTTAATAATTCTTGGATTTGAGGACTGAGGACATGGTCCTCCATTTATACAAATGCAACATGTTGAACAAGAGGAAAGGGTAGATATGCCTTCTACAGATACTGATTCAGACAGAAAGCTTTTTATCTGAGAGCTTGAAGTACGTGTGGACAGTATGTACTGAAGAACATAGGAGAAATAGTCTTTTAATGTATAAATGTTCCTAGGGCATGGTGTGTATCTCTGTAGTTTAAGTTGTTGTATGTTAGAAAGAATGTACTTGAATTGTTTTGTGTACTTTTGCATACCCTAGTGAGAATAAAGTAAATAACTAATTTTTTCTGCAAATGTTATTTGGATGAAACATATTTCT